CCCCAAAACCCCAAAACCCCAAAACCCCAAAACCCCTAAAAATTAAATTTATTTTAACATTCGTGAATTACCAAAAATGAACGAGAAGTTGGAAAAAGTGGAAGCCAAGCGCAAGACTAAGCTCCCTGAAATCCCTCTTGAAAAGGTAGAGGAGTACATCGAGTATTATGAAAAGTTGATCCAAAAGAAGGTGCATTCCAATATCAACAAAATCAGGCGCCAAGCTTTGAAAAATATTCAAGACAAGTTCAAAGATAATGAAGGCAAGTCAAAAGCCAAGAACCTGCAGAAGAGAATGGAGGAAATCAGAGCTTTCTATGAAGGAGACATCATCAAAATGGATGCAGCTCAAAAGGATTGCACTGAATCCAAGAAAGTCGTTAAGTGGTACGAGTGGGACATGGTCATGGTCATCCCCAACCCTGATTACTATGAAGGGGAAGGCTACCTACATGGTGAAGGAGAAGAAGCAGCTGAACAAGCGGAAGAAATCTATAAGAAGTGATTCAAGAAATCAACAAGTGATGATGCTGAAGGCAAGAAGGAAAGAGAAGCTGAAATCAAACTTGTTAAAGATATTGTTACAGAAAAGTTGATGAGACATGGCAGAGTACTGGATGTAGGAGGTAGACGGTTCAAACCAGTTGAAGAGCTAGACCTCAAAAAAGATGAGCCTGTCCATGAAGGAGGAGATGAGATGGACATCCCTGATGAAGATGCTGATGTGCATAATGTTCGAGAAATGGATATCAATAATGACATCCAAGACGAGGAGCTCTTCTATGATACAAGAATGTATCTCTCTGATTTCAGTAATCTTATTCTAAATGCACTAATTTATAAGATAAACAAGGTCCTTGGTTTTGAAACACTGCTTATGATTTCAAAATCAGGACAAAATTTGTACCTCCTTATCCGTGCTTCTGATGGAGATCTAAGTGTTCATGCCCAAAATCAAGGATATCTTCTCTCTCTTGAGGTTGGCTACACAGATATTGAAACCCAGCCTCCCTACAGCTTAGGTACTATCCTCGTCTAACTCCTATAGAGCCCTGTGATAAATATTTGAATCCTCTCAACAAAGTCATTGTACCTGAGAAATACGAGGCAAAAGTTGATCAGTATGAAAAATTGATGAAAGAACAACTTGCTCATATCTACAAAAAGAGCAAAGAAGGCACTAGACATTCTACAAATATTTCCATTGCTGAGCTGGCGTCCGAACTTGGAACCAACGATGTGTTCAATGGCCACGGGATCAATGATGAGACTTGGGAAACCTATATCAGGTTCCTTGAGATTATTTCAAAAACGCTCAAGAATTTCATTGAAGATCCCACTATCGAGGTGACCAAAGACAGATTAGGTAGGTTCCTCAGAAAAGCCTACGTCTCTTCGATAAGTTATGCAAACCAGACTGCAGAAACCAACAAGGGTAAACTCAAGAATCTTTGGGGTCGACTCGGGATTGACGAGCCAATGCCTGCTTACACACAATACGTTAGGAAGATTAATGATTTTGGAGAAGACGAGTTCGACCGCTTCTGGACAAGATATGTAACGAATGAGTTCAATGACAGGTCTATTTTCTCAAACTCTGATAAGCTAAAAATCATGGACATGGCAATCCAAAGCGTGTTCTTGATTTCAAATATGACTCACTTCGGATACTTAAAGGCATACTTCCCTCTACATGATGAGTACCAACTCTGAGGATGGAAAAGAGACAAAGTTCTCAAGGATGATGATATAGAGACAGACCTGTGCAAAGCCATGGGAGAAGACGTCTACCAATACATCAAACCTGAGGTAGAATGAGTGATTGAAAGGTGGAACACGAGTATGAGAACAATATTGAGTCCACCTGTAGATAAGATTAGAAACTACTTTGGCGAAAAGATTGCTTACTACTTCGACTTCATCTCTCTCTGGACCAAGTTCATGAGCTTATTAATTCTATTTGGAATTCCTGTCACAGTCACTCTATGGGCTCAAGATCCTGATGATTTAGCTTCTGAAATATTCGTAATCGCTTATGCAATCATGAACGTGATAGTCGCCACTTTGTTTGTAGAATTCTTGAAAAGAGAAGAGAAATACAGGGCTTCAACTTGGGGTACTAGTAAATTAGCAGATGAAGATTTCATCAGGCCTCTGTTCAGAGGAATATTCAGAAGATCTCCAATCGACGATGACCTTGGTGACCCACATTTTACATTTTTCATGAGATACTGGAGACTTATGGTATCCGCCCTCATTATTTGGTTAGTTGCAGGAGTTTCTGTTGGAATAACAGTAGGACTTTTTGTTGTTAGATATGAGCTTGCAAAAGAATGGAAAGGCACTGGAGATATAATCTGGGCCCCTATAATCACTGCTATAATTGGAGCAATTCTTCTTTTTATCAAAGACCTTGCGGTAAGACCTATCATTAAATGGTTGACGAAATTCGAAAATCTCAAGACAGAAGCTGAATATGAATTCTCATACATCATGAAGTTCTTTGTATTCAGATTCATAAATACTTTTGGCCCTCTTTTCTACATCGCTTTTGTGAAGAAATATGTGACTGGTTGTATTACCACTGAAAATAACTTCGAAGCAGAGGAAAATAACTGTATGTGGGAGTTGAGGTATGAACTCATAATCCTTACAGTATTTTTCTTCTTGACAAATTTCCTTGAAATATTGATACCTTATCTCCGTTCTGCCAGATCTCTTTCATCCAAAATCACTGCAAAATCAATCAAGGGAAAGTCTAATGAAGAAATTCTGAAGACTAAGGTCTATATTGAGTACCATAGACAGTCTTACGATGATGGTGAAATTAATGGAGTGGTTGAAGAGTACTTTGAAATAGTCATGCAAATTGGAATAGTCTTCATCTTCAGTCTTGCCTTTGGTATAATCCCCTTGATCGGTAACTTTCAACTTCTAACATCATTATAGCGGTTATTCAAAATGTGATGGAGATATTCATTGATCGTAAAAAGCTAGTGTCACTGACAAGAAGGCCAGTGCAGCAGTCTGCCAAAAGTCATGGTCTTTTTACATCACTGATAGAGGTCCTTGCATTTATAGCAATTTTTACGAATTTTGGAATAGCTTGCTTCACCTCTGAAGCGTTTGGAAAGACTCATAAGTTTACCAGCTTCATCTGGTGAAACATCAGCATCTTTATAATAAGATTTATACTACAAGAAATGATTCCAAATGAGCCGGAAGTCGTTTACAACGTGAGACAGAGACATACTCTAGTGGTGGAGCAAACTCTTGGAAAATTGAACCTCTCAGAACAAGAAGTTAACAAAGGAGAGAAGACATTCTTTGGGGTTTTACACACTGTTGATAAGAAGGGTAAAGAGGCAGAAAGGAAAGAGATTAAAAGAGAGAAGTAAAATTGGCAAATGTTCAATAAACCAATTTAAAATGGGGTTTTGGGGTTTTGGGGTTTTGGGGTTTTGGGGTTTTGGGG